CCCAACCTTTCATTTTATAGGTAAACTCAAAAGAAAACTTGGTGAGAAAGCCATAACCCAGGAAAAGTCTGCTTTAGATCTTGAGTGCGCACGCATGTGTGCCTGTGAGAGACAGAGACAGAGAGACTTTTAAATTCAAGACCCTATATTTTTATATTTACATGTAATAAAATTATATCAATATGGTTGGGATCAACATTTTTATATAATAAAATGGAGGTGAAATTTATTATTTTGAATCAAAATTTCTTTCTAGGCAAATTCCGAGTCTTAATTTTTTCTCAATACAATATAGATATTAGCACACCCATTTCATGGGATTTGGGAGGTTATATTAATGCAATATTTTAAAAATCCCTAACACCTTATCAGGAACATAGTAAGCTGTCATATTTATTATTATGTCTCATAATTATTTTAATTCTGTTACAGTATGGTTACAATATATGTGTAAATTACTTTTTTTGAGACAGGGTTTCACGTGGCCCAGAGCTCAACAGTTATGTAGCCAAGGATGACCTTGAGCTGCTGATCCTCCTGCCTCCACTTCCTGAGGGCTGGGATTACAGATGTGTTCCACTACATTGGGTTGGTTGTTTATATGTAGTATTGGAGGAGCCCAGGAATTCATGCATACTAGACAAACACTCTACCAACTGAGCTATATCCCAGCCTCAAAATACTTCATTTTTTTTTTAAGCATGAATTAAAGAAATAGAGGAGAGGATGGAGAGATCTCTCAGAGAGATGGCTCAACCATTCAGTTCCCAGTATCAGGGGATCTGACACCCCTCTGGCCTCTGTGAGCAGCCACAAACATGTAGGCTCACACACACGCACACACACACGCACGCACACACGCACACAGATAAGTAACAGAGAAATCTGACAGTGACAAAGATGCTGATGAAAAATTTTTCTCATGTTAAACGTGTATTTCTTCTTAGAAGCTTCTATCGCCATAGATATTTTTGGAAATTCAGTATATTTTAATACTATACTGATGAAGAATATATAGAAATGAACTTTATCAGAATATTTTATTTAATTAATTTAAAATTAGAAAAGTAAATTTATCAAAGTACAGGTTGCTTTGAGAGAAGCCAGAAGACATGTACACTGATAAAGAACAGCTCTAGTCCTGTGTTTCAGCTAGATTTCCTACTCTGCTCAAGCATTTTCAGACAGGTCCTGTAGAGAGAATAAATGAAATCCAGGACAGCTATTTAGATTGCTGGAAGCTATCAGAACACAATGGAGTCTTTCTGTGAAAGGTTGAGATCACAGCCTGCCTCTCTCATCTTAGGAGGTAACAGGGTGGGCAGAGTATTCCCATCAAAAGCTGCATTCTGGATCTTTTCAGCTCTCTTGGGTTCTCTGACAAACATTTCAACCCACCCATCTCCCACCAACACCATGCTGGGTTGATTGACAGACAATTGAATTTAAAATGTGTTTAGGCAGAAAACTACAGAGCTGAAAAATGTTGTTGGTATGATTTCTGGATATGTGTGTATGGATGTGTGTTGGGAATTGAATTTAGAACCTTATATGTGTGCAGCTACAGTCTCTGCCCCTCATCTCTAGATTTTAGTTGGACTGCATCAAGGTTAAAAATGATAAAGAATTCTTAGAGAGAGTTTCCTGCAAATTAGTTCCTGAAATTCTTTCCAGTCTGTGATTTTTCTTAAGTCCCCGTGGCCTCCCATTTGAAAGTCGTTGTGGTCCTTCTCATCTTGGGGATTTTTATCAGTGCCCTTCCTATGCCTTCTTCTATCAAAGTTTGCCCTTTTTCTACTTTTCTCTTCCCAATGCTGCTGTACTTCTCTTTCAACGTTTCATTAAAGTTTCCAGATTACTGTGTCATTATCGGTGCTCAGATACAAATTGGAGTTTCCATGTCTGTTCTTAACATTTCCAAACACTTGATGCATTCCAACTTGTGTTTTTCCCATAATACGTCTACATAGTCTCACCTGACTATATGACTACTCTCCTGATTTAAATAAATAAATAAATAAGTCCTGGAATCAAGGGGAAGCACATAACTGAGGAAGCCTTCATTTAGGCATCGAAGTGTTGCATACAAATAACATCCAAATATATTTTACCTCGTGATAACTTCCACTTAGCTCAGTTCTAACCATTATTGCTGAATTTGCTCATTTGAAAATACAGTTCATGATGCCAAAGAAACGGATGAGTAGTTAGGAGTGCTTATGGCTCTTGCAGGGGACTCAGGTTCAAGTAGCTCCCAACTGCCTATAACTCCAGTTCCTGGGGATCTGAAGCCCTTTGGTCTCCACAAGCCCCAGCATGCACATGTGCACATAAATTTATGCAGACACCCAGACACATACATAAAAAGTAAATAAATCTTTTAAAAAATACAATTTACTTATTCATTTATTTATATAAAGAAACAGAAATTTCCTGAGTCATAAGTGCTTCTAAATTCTGATTTCCAAATCAAATTTTTCATTTTTTTTAAAATGGAATCATCAGCTAGGCATGATGGCTCACATTTTTAATGCCATTACTTGGGCAGCATAGGCAGGTGAATCTCTGAGTTCGAGATCAGCTACATAGACAGTTCCAGAGCTATATAGTGAGACCCTGCCTCAAAAGCAAGTAAACAAAAAGCAGAAACTTGGGTATGTTTTGTTAGCACACACACATTCAATGAACTTGTTTTGGAACATAATAAAATAAATAGTTCAAAAGGCTTAAGAGATCTGTGGGTTTTGTTTATTTAATTTTTCCGTCCTGGGTCTCCTGTCCTATCTACTGATGGCATTCTCCTTTCATTTAGAAATTTTAATTCTTATTTTGGTAATCTTTTAAAAAATTGGCACATGCCTTTAACCCCAGCACTCAGGAGGCAGAGGCAGGTGGATCTCTGAGTTCAAGGTCAGCCTGGTCTACATAGCAAGTTCAAGGCCAGCTGGGGCTACAGGTGGGGGGCCTGTTTCAAAAAGACCAAAAAAAATTTTTTAAAGTTGACTCTGATTTCTTTAATTTTTAGAATTTGTTTTTTTATTTTTGTCTACATGAATGTAAGTGCACCATGTGCATACAATGCCCACAAAAGTCAGAAGAGGGCGTTGGATCCCCTGAAATTCAAGTTGTGGATGGTTGTTAGCTGCCATGTGGGTGCTGGAATGGCACCTGGGTCCTCTGCAAGAGCAGCCAGTGCTCTTAACTGCTGAGCCATCTCTCCATCCCCTGCTTTAATTTTTTAAACCACTGCTGGGGATCTGTCCCAAGGTCTAACGCTTGCTAGGCAAGCAGATAGTTTTAATTTTTAGGTCAGGCTATGGGAATTTACAACCAAGTGTGTCTGTAGTTTTTTGTTTGTTTGTTTGATATAGTCCTTTGCTCATGACACTTTGTGTCCCTATATTTCTTAGGCTTGTGGCTATGTGTGAGTATACTTACTATTTTTATGCCTTCATCATAATGTAAAATCATTCAGACTAACAAAACAAATGAATTTGGAGATGAGTAGCGTGTACAGAGGGGTCTAGACACATGTACGCCATGCATGAGATATGTGGCTGTGAAGTGATTGATAGCTGATTGATAAGTGAAAGGTAGCCAAACATTAGCATTGTGGTGTCAGTCCCTTGGGAAGAGAGGGCTTTCATAATAGGATGTGTTCTGCATTCTTAGTGATTGATGTTGAATGACTAAACAGAAGAGGAGAATAAATACAACTCCTTTCCCTTTTAAAGGCTAAACACATATATACTAAATGCAAATCTTTCAATGTAAAAAGCCGTTGGCCTATTGATAGCACATATCTGAAAAGCTAAGGACCAGTTAACTATGCAGCTCAAAATATAGGCAAACCAAAATTGCATATTTTCCTTAAAAATAACTTTTGCAACCCAAATGTAATGGAAAACACACAAAATATGATCTAAGACCTATTTGTGAAAGTCGAATTCTGACATTAGGCCCTTGGTCAGAGAGTGGGCAGAATGGTTCCCTGAACTGTATAAGGCAGCACGTACCACAATGACTGATGAAACTGATGTTTTTGCAGGAGAGCCAACTGTATTACTAGAGCCTTCTACTCATTTTCTGTCTTTGAAAATGAAGTTCCAACTGTATCTTGGCCTCAGGAAGTGAATTTAACCCAAAGATGATATTGTACAGATGGGCAAATTTAAGAATTTACCAACTATAGAAGAGAGCTATGTGGGAAAACATTTTTATAAGTAATGTGGTCATGTTCATAGGTGCCATTTTTTAAGAGTGTATTTTGATTACCTGAATTTCAAGCATTAGTAACGCAGTACCTACGGAGGTCAGAAGAGGGCATTGGATCCCCTGGAACTGGAGTTATAGATGGTTGTTAGCTCCCGTGTGGGTGCTGGGAACTGAACCCAGCTCCTCTGTAAGAGCAGCCAGTGCTATTAAACTGCTGAGCCATCTCTCCAGCCATTTAACATTAAAGTTTTAAACTGATAAAATGTAATTTGGTCTATAATTTCCCTAACTGCTGAGCAAGTTGTTAATTCTTATCACAGCAGGCAGCTGCATTTTTATGCTCATTTTAAAAGCCAACTCCATTTTTTTGTTTTTGTTTTTGTTTGGTTGACCATGTACTGCCCTCTGGTGGGTTAAACTATGCTTTGAAACAGCCCATCAAATTGAAATGAATCATTTCTATATGGAAATGTTTATTATTTTCCTATTTTGGAACCCTTGTTTTCACTGGCTATTTTGTTTAACACAACTAATTTATAAGGATGCTGGAACATTTTAGTGATGATGATCCTTTAAGCAATCAGTATAAGCAGTGTAAATAACATTATATACGTCTAAGAAGTGTAATCTCATTGATAGTTGGTGTATTTTGGTAATTTAAAAATTGCATTTAAGTAAATGATTATTTCTATTCATATTATTTAATATAATTTTAATAATTAATTTTAAATTTTAATGATAAATGCTACCTACTTCTAAGATATTTTCCTCGTTCTTCTTCACAGATGTTACAACTGTGGCGGCCTTGACCATCATGCTAAGGAATGTAGTCTACCTCCTCAGCCAAAGAAGTGCCATTGCTGTCAGAGCATCCTGCACATGGTGGCAAACTGCCCACACAAAACTGTTGCACAGCTGCCCGGCAGTTCTCAGGGAAGACAGGAAGCAGAATCCCAGCCATGCACATCTCCTTCCCCTAGAGAAGTGGGAGGGGGGCATGGCTGCACGTCACCCTTTCCTCAGGAGGTTAGGCCAGAGCCGTCTGAGCGGCCAGGCAGGCCACCTCAAGAAGCTTCTTCCATGAAGGCGTTTGTAGCACCCGAAGAGCAAAACAAAAAGGGGCCTTCAGTTCAAAAACGGAAAAAGACATAATACTTGTTAATGCCTCATGTTCTCTACCTAGTTGGGAAGTCTACCTCATGCAAGTACAGGGAACAGTATTCCACAGACAGCAGCTGACCTGGGATTTTAACTACTGTTGAGGACTGTGAATATTTTAAAAAGACAAATCACTCTAAGCAAATTATGTTTGAGCAGGATGTCATGTTTTATACAGTTCAGAGAATGAAATACTATGTGTGTGCGTATGTGAGAGGGGAAGACCTAGGTCTGTGTGTATGAGGATTTTACATAGGAGTGCAAACACGTATGTGAAGAATGTCCGTCTTTATATTTGTGTATATGGAGGTATCAGGAGACACTCTCCCTCACATAATTGGGCATATTTAAGAACTGAAAAATCCATGTGAAGAGCTGAGGTGGTTTCAAAATTAACTCCTGATTTTTTCCCTAAATATCACTTATTTTGTATTATATAAAAATAGAAACATGACTGTTACCTTTTGTGTGAACCAAAGGATACTTCATATCGCAGTGCGGCCAATCATATGGTACTAAAGGTTTTTAGGGCATCCAGTTTCTCCCAAGTCTGGGATCACATCTTATTCTTCATATCTGGAGTGTTTTGTTGCTCTCCTATTTGAAGGTAGTACCTTAACTCCATATACCTCTGACTGCCATAAGCTTTTTAATTCTTGGAGACAATGAATGTGAACTTTCTGTGCTGATATTTCAGTGTCTTTTATTATACTTATGTTTTGATTGTAAATTACATGCCTTTTAAGAAAAATGAAGGGGAGGGTAACGTACAAATACCGTAACTTGATCATTTCAATGGGATTTTGATACCAGCTCTTTGTAATCTTTTCCGTATTCTGAGGTTTTTAGGGATTGTGGCAGCAGCAGCTTCCCTTTATTTGGTTCTTTTATGAACCACCACATCGAACTGGAAGGCTTCCCCCCTGCCCCCCCACCAACCCATTTACTACTGAAGACCTTAGAGGAAACAAACTCTCAATATTTGAGTATATTTTGGTGGCTGTTTTTATTCCCCTGGAGAGACCGCAAACTTGTTTATAAAACGAAGACAGCATGGAAATTAATAAAATAGTGGAGCGTAGAGTGAATCTTAAGTAGATGTACACAACTGCCCAATAGATACAGCCTGTGAATGATACTAAAAATGTAGGTTTGGTGGCAGGCAACTAGAGTAGGATAGAGGTACCAAAAAACTCCACCATCATGTGGCTAGCAGTATCATGTGATAACATTGATGTCATGGCAGTCACCTTGAATACTGAAGCTGAAGTAACCTACATGATGGATTCAGGATGGGCATTTAGAGCTAGTGATTAGAATCTTTGCCGCTAGGTTCTCAGTTTGCTAATAGACTGGCTAGGGTCCAATCAAAGTATTGGTCCATTTGTTTTCTGTCATGTTAAAAAAAAAAAAAAAAAAAAACCAACTTGAACTTAGCCTTGTTCTACATGTTATAGGCAAACTTCTGGAAACATCTCCAAGAAGGCACCAAGTAATTGTAATGCTTAATTTGGGCAATAAATACAGTTTTATATGGGCCTGTTGGTATAAGCTCAGATAATCAAAGAAGGAAGGCATCATGACTCAAATGAGACCCATTATGCTGAATAATCAGTTCATTCCGCCTCCTGTCATAGGGGCGGGCATAGTTGCTGAATTCTCATCAAGCCACCAGAAGAAGAAACTGCCTCAGGCTGGCCTACCAGCCCCTTCCAGCTTAGCTTGAATTCTTGACAGTATTTGTGAGAATCTCCATAGTGTACACTGAAATGTCAGTGTGCTGTAATGCAGAGCTTACCTTTGACGACACTGAATGTGATGTAGCTGTAGAGAAGTACTTCCTTGCCTTACGTGAGGATTTCAAGCCTATTTAAATTATGTAGACAAATCAAAGTGGCACTGCAAGTATAATAAGCAGGTAACAGTTTTAAAATGCAAAATATATGTCACTTTGAAAATTCAAACCAAAGTTCCTTGACTATAGAAATAGGAAATTATGGACTTGAAAATTGGACATTCTGTTTATATATAAAAGTTCAGAGCTGAGATCATGGTTTTAAAAAGAAGAAAGTAGAAACAAACACTTGGAACTGTGGAGATTGTGGTGCAATTGGCATCTTTTTCAGCATCTGACTGGACTACTAAGAGCACATACCAAACCTATCTTACGGTTAAAAGTTGAACTTTATTTTTTATATGAAAATATTGTCACTATTACATGCTCAGGACAAAGAACTTTGCTCAGGGAACAACCATATAATGTTGTTATTGTTTCTTTACAGACTAGTCTACAGCCCTGCTTATTCAAAACAAGCCAAATAAATTAGGTCTTTATGTAAGTACATGTACTTGTTGGTAACTACCTCTGAGTTTGACATAGATCACAATTTTGAGTAGCAGATACCAGTTCTCCTGTTTTTATTTCATGTGAAGTCTTTTAGAGTAAAACTCCATTCCTTACAGATGTGAATATAACCAACGTGAGCACATTGTTCATTTACATGAATGAATATTCTGTTTACAGCAAACGCTACCTCATAGGTAATACGTAGCACACCTGTATGCTGCTCCAGCCTTCCAGGTGGCTGATAGTTCTCTGGTACAGACACTTTTAATCTGTATCATACATGGCAATTTACAACTGCATGTTTCTGACAAATGCTTGTGACAAATGGAACATTTCATCTTTGGAAAGTCTCCAAGCATTCCCTTAAAGTTATCATGTATTTAGTTTAAAGAATTATGGGCACTCTTTATCCTAAGCAAAACAGAACATAGAAACAATCCAGAAAATAGCTGCATTGCCCAAAAGCGGGGGACACAAAGGGTAACAGGAGGAGGCCTAATGTTTACTCTTCACTGGGCACAGAGTATAAATGATTCCAACCTCCTTCATATGTCTTTGCTGCCCTGAAGGCAAAGCATACTGCAGTGTGATAGCCCTTGGCACATAACTAACTAGCACAGGCTTGCCAAGGAAGGAACTTAAAGTGCAGTGCACTCCTAGCCACTGAGGGCAAAGGGTCTCTGTGAAGCGCCAGTTTACAAGGGTTGCTAATAGTAGGGCCTAGACCTGGGAATTAAGCCACCTTTTGACCTGCCCCTCATGTCAACACAAATGAAGTTCCTAAAAAAGATGTATTACTAGTCCCTTAGCCCCATGAGCTATTCATTCTGTACATGGCAGATTATAGTAGAAACATTTTTATACTCGCATTTCTAGTCTTTGGATGTATTTTTACAATTTGAAAGATTTAGAAGATTTTTACCTGCTTATAACTTGGAAGTTTAGTGTGCAATGTGAAAGAAAAGATCAGAAAACGTCATGTTATTAGCACCAGTCCACCTCCAAATAGAAGGTGTTTTTATTGCTAGTTATTTTTGTATTCTAGCTCAGTTTTATTTTGCACCACTGCAGCCCCAAGTTACTGCTGGTTGTATGTACTTTGTGAATAGAAGCCCATAAGTGTTAATAGAGTTTTGTAACATTCACTGTAAGATACAGGACATGGGAAATCTCATTAAGTCTTAAAGTTAATTTAAATTAATTTATCTGTTTCCTCTAAGAAATGTTTATCATAAAATGTATATGTGATTTACCTTTGGTAGAAAATTCAGGAAAGTATGTGCAAATGCAGCTGCACAGACTGATTTTCTAGATCTTAATGAGATTTATTTGTTTTAGTAAAGAACAACTTATTAAAAGCATCAAGTTCTGTCTTGCAATCAACAGCCTCTTTAAGATGGTGGTTGTGTGATCTGTGTCCTGGTTGTTCAGTTCTAACTCTATGAGTGGGTGACCTATGATTCATTGTTAATCTTATTCTTGGAACAAAGCTTCAAAGTTATGGTAAAGTACTGTGTTGTGAGAGAGTATTATGATATTTAATATACCTGTGGCTTAGCCCCTGCGAGTTACCAGCTTGAAAATGACGGTGTTGACCTACCTCTTCAATCACGTCCGTCAACCACTGGCACCTACCACCAAGCTGGTTTTAATTAGTGTGTGTTGCTCTTGTGGTATTAACAACTCTAACCATACTGGAGACCAAAGTGAACCCTGACTTCTATGTCTTTAATGCAGTGTTTTATCTAGTATTTTAAAATTTTCCTGTGTAGCATTTAGATTACATCATAGTCCATTTTGATTCATGTTGTTTACAAGTAAAAACTTTTTTAAAAAATACACTTGAACTGTCTGTTTATAAAGGACAAAAAAAGCTGATATTTAGAATGGCACACTCATTTTCAGTCACCCTGATAAACTGTTTTCTACAGACATGGGTTTAGTAATCTCCTTTCATGCCAAATGTCTCTGTCATCTATGGATATTTTGAAGCTTAAAATTACTTGATTAAAAACAAAGCATAACAGTCCTGGATTTTAGAGATTGTGTGTGTGTGTGTGTGTGTGTGTGTGTGTGTGTGTGTGTGTGTTTGCTAAATGTGTGTGTGTGTGTGTGTGTGTGTGTGATTGCTAAATTAAGTAAATGAATGACGGGCCCTTTAGGACGTATTTACACCAACATGAGAGGAAATTCAATGGCTTGAAGCACAGCCTCAGCTGTGGAGAATGTGGGCACTCATTTCTTGGGGCTTGTCATCATTAGGAACTCCCTGGTATTACCAAGCAGGGGTTGTACAGACTTATAAATCGAGACACACTTTGTGTGGCCAAAAAGAATGGCCTGAAATAAGAGCCTTTTGGAAAAATCATTTTAGAATTTTCTTAACAAGTTTTTCCTAATAATTGTTAAGAATTTGGGAAAAAAAAAATCAGAATTAAGGTGTCCCAGTACCAAATATCTAAAATGTCAATGTAAATTGATTAACTGTATGTGCTGTGATAATCTGTAAAATAAACTGGTGAAACTGTTGATTTCTATTAACTGGCCAATCCTATAATTAAACTGATTTTCCACTCTATACCTGAATGATTGTGTTATTATTGTTTAGTGTTCCACGACTCCTACATTTTTTAAAGATTAAAGAAAA